GTTGGGAAAAGGTCCAGCTGGGGCCAGGACCCAAATATAAACCTCAGACTATGCCGTGTTGCCTGGAGAGTAGGGGAGTGTGAAGGCCACCAGGTCAGGAATGGGCATGCTCCGGTCTACCCTTAGAAAGCTGGAAGAACTTTATTTCTCCCATGAATAGTAAAGACAGACAGAATAGGATGCATTAGCTTAAACAGTGGTATCTGAACGCTTCAGCAAAAGTACAGGTTTCATGGTGATTGGCAAATTAAGAGAAAAGACGATCCCATTTACTGGCCAAAAGTATAATGATGCTCTTCTGAAGGTCTGTTACTTCAGGTGGCACTGGTCCACTGAGTGGCACTCCTCAGGAAAGACTGCACACTGCTGTGCAGTAAGATGTTTCCGGCCCACCCTCTATCTTTAAAGGCCTACACTTTCTAATAGCTCTCCTACTGGCTTTGTTCCCTTCCAAAGGGCAGACCATGGAGGCTTCCTTCTCATTGGGACAGATACTGTGGGAGCTACTTTCAGTGCCTTGAAGCAGTGAAAACGTGCAGGATATTCTCTGTCTAGTCTATGCCATGAAGATCTGATTTAATACAGCAGACTTTAATTAAGCTTAAATTCTTGCCGTTTCTTTGACAGTAGATACTTGACATTAGCAAGAATCCCATGTCTGTCAATATCATTCTAGGAGACTGCTTCTCCCCCCAAAAATGAAGTAAATTATAACTAAAATATTTAAGGGCCCCCTTCAAATCCTTAATGATTTTATAAACAAGGTGCTAAAGTCCTTCTGCATGCTCATTAAAATACATTTCTCCTGAGTCCTATTTCTGTGGAAATTATGTGTTTCCTGGGCATAAGTTCGTATCAAAGGTAATACCTTCTCAACTTTTACTCAAGTTTTGTCTTTCTGATGACAAGCAATTCTCATATGGGCAAGGGCATTCCTCAAGCAGTTTTAGGAATCACTCTTGCTTCTGGAAAAGAATGTAGAATGAACTATTGCTCCATAGACCAGAGTCTCCACCAAATCCAACAAGGAGCTTGCTGCATCTGAAACATCCATTTTCTGAGTAAGAGTAATGCATCTTTACATGCCTCTGTACATGCCTGCTCAACTGGGTGCTTTTCTTTTCTGGTCTACTTTTCACTGGGGAACATGACAAGAGTTGCCATGTGCCTTCAAGTAGAGCATTGAGAAGCTGGGGTAAGATGGCCAAGTTCACATGCAGTTCAGTTATCTCCTGTTGCAGGTCCCATCATTCAGGGAGTGAGCTTCAAATTCTTGCCTCAGAAAGAGCACAGGTGAGGACATGTTTTAGAACTTCAGGGCTCCCTGGGAATGATGAATCCACTGATACCAGGGTTCTTCTGAGCTTATGTTTTTAATTTTCAATGTCCCAGTTTTAACATATCCTTGTTTTAATGATTTCAGGTTAATATTTTGGTCTTTGGTCCTACATACATTTATCTGAATGCTCATTTGATCTCAGTATGTTGGAATTTAACTGTTTTCTTCCCATAGGAACACAGTGTCCCTGTGCATTAACCAAGAGGTTGGATACTACTGCTTATCCCAGACCCCTTAGTGATTCAGCACCACTTAGCAGAGTGCCTGGCTAACCAGCAGAAACGAGACAAATGTCGTTACTGAATGTCTTTTGCAGTGATGTTCAAATATTGAGAGGGTATATGGGTTATGATATGTTCTCAAGCCATATATCTCAAATTGTAAACCCAGGAAACCCCTTAATTAAACCCCTAATCAGACTTGAAGGCACAGTTTTTACTGTCTTCTATTCCATGTCTGAGCCAATGGTAAAAGTGCTGACCAAATGGCTTTTGGCCTGATCTGCAGAACCAAATGAACATGGTAAACTGACAGTTACTGAATACAATGAGCACAATGATTAAGCTGAATAAGGGGATGATTCAGGACTTTTGTTACTGCAAATAATAGAGACCCAACAAACTAGCTTAAGTTAAAAAAAAAGAGGAGGGTACCAAGTAGCTCCCATTGCTTGGAATGCACAGGGAAGGTCCCAGAATTGTAGGAAGAGCTGTAGGAACATAGGGCCTCAGGGTTCCAGGGTCTCCTGAGGTTTCTCTCTTCCTAACACTCATCTCTCAGAGTCTCTGCTCCTCTCCCTCCCTTGCTTCTGCTCTGGACAGACTCTGTCCACATACTGGGTGCCATCACCCTGGAGTCCCCAGCAGGTGAGAACATTTTTTTCTCTCATGCAAGAGTCCTAAGGAAGGATTCTAACTGGTTCTGCTTGGGTCACATGCCTGTCCTTTGGATCAAACACTGTTGACAACAGGACAAGATACTGTGATTGGCTAGGGTTGGGTCATGTGATCAATCGTTTGGCTTTTCTCCCACAAGGGTCGTGGAAAACCTGGCAAGGCAGATAAGGACAGTTACCATGGCCGATTATACCGAACTATTCCAAAAAGTAATTCTAATAATAATGTGAGAAGATCAAATATGTGATTTAATATATGTAACTGTGTATACTGCATATTGCATCAAGCACCATTCTAAGCAAATATATGCAAGGGCAGAGAAACTCTCTTTCTACATGTATAATTTATCCAAATATCAGTGTAAAAAAATCCCTCAATAATGAAATCCCATCATCACTAAATCCCACCATTAACACTTTCATATTTGGCTTATAGAATTGAAGCTAAAGTTTAACCAGACGACCTCAAAAGTCTTTTCCAGTGTATGACCCTCCAGTTAGAATAAAAACGCCTCTGGAAGAATGGTACACCATCTAATATACGACAGGACAGTGTTATAGGCTAAAGTGTGTCTCCCTGCTACCCAAATTTATAATTTGAAGCCCTAACCTCCAGTACCTCAGAATGTAACCTCATTTAGAGATAGAGTCTTTAAGGACTAAGATTAATGGAGGTTATTTGGGTGGGAAGTAATTCAATCTGAGCGGTGCCATTTTAAGAGGAGATTAGAACACAGACACGCACACACGAAGACCATGTGAAGACAGAGAGAAAAGACAGTCATCTACAAGCCAGGGTAGAACCCTGCCAACACCTTCGTCACTGACTTCCAGCCCCCAGAACTGTGAGAAAATAAGGTTCTGTTGTTTCAACCACCCAGTCTTAGTGATTCCGTTATTACAGCCCTAGCAAATTAACAGATCAAGAATTTCAGAAAGGACTAAGGCTCGGTTGAGACAAATTTGATGTGTGGAATGAAAGACCAAGCAGTTCTTTCATGGTTCTTTTTTAAGGTAGAATTTCCCCTTGAGATTCAGGGGCCAGTACTAGTGACCTGGTTAACTGAGGTGTACTGGTAAAAATATGATAAAATGGGTAGGAAATTAAGAGAAGTAAGGAGAAAAAAGGGGGTGACAGACAGACTTCACCCTTTTCAAAATTTTACCAGGGCTTAGCATAAGGTGATTCTAGCAGAACATGGCATTATGGTTGGCATGGCCAAAGGGGCCGATACCCAACCTCGTGGGCCTGTGGGGAGCCCGTCTCCCACATGGCTGCAGGCTTACCTCGGCTCCCGATAGGTGTCTCCACTGAGAATTTGGGAGCTCTCAGCATCCTGCCCTGGCCCATTGGCTCTGAGAGGCACATGAGTGGATGGCTGCTCCATCTGCGTCAAGGTTTACCAGCATGAGCTCCTGCCATCACCTTTACAATGCTCACTAGTCAGAGCTTCCTGCTGAGTCAAGCCTGTCTAAGGCATTAGGTCTGCCCTTCTCATATGACATATGACAGTAGTCTGGAGGTCCAAACTGGGGTGACACTGATTGTATTCCTGCCCTACCAGCCCTCTACTGCCCTTGTCCCATACCTCATTGCTCCCCGACCAGGGACTCGTCCCCCATGTCAAACCAAACTTCACTGGAATGGAAAACCCATTTCTGGCTTCCTTCCTAGGCCTTCACCCCCTCCAGGCGGATTTGCCTGGATCCTGGGCTTGTCTTGCCCCGGCTCATTTATCCTTTTGCTACTCTTGTCTCAGCTCTGACCTTTGCCCTTTGGCAAATCACTGACATCGGGAGGTTCTCAGAACCACGACTCGGAACCCACCAACCTGTGCTACTGAACCACATGAAGGTTCCACCACAGAGCACAATGCGCATTTGGAAAAACATATCCATTCATCAGGAAACAGCCAGCACGAAATACTCACTACACAAAAACCTGACACTAAAGGGAAATATTTTTGTTAAATAGACTGATTGCTAAATGAACATGGTTTGTGAAAATCACATCTATTATATGGGACTTTTCAGTTCATAAGCCTCATAATATCAGATCATCGCACTGGCAAAGCAGTGCTTTGCGAGCCTGTTTGGATGAAATCTGGAAGTTGCTCCATTATTGGATATTACAATGATATTTGCCAACATGGGGTTTTTGCTTGTGTGTACATTCAAATAAAATTTCCGGCCATCATTGTTCATAGCCCAGATATATTAATATCTCCATGTAACAAATTTCACAGAAGACAAATGAAATATTTAAATAACTCAAGCACAGGATCTACTGAATACTGCATTTTACCTTTACGCTCTTTTTCTTTTCTTTTTATCATCCACAGACATTTAAAAAAGAAACCTGATAACGTCAAAAGATGAAAAAGGCTAAATTTGGGGAAATAAAGGAACCATAAATCAGGAAAACTTTGGAGCTGCTAGAAAGACACTTTAATTTTGTAGACAAAAGACTGCATTAAGGAGGAATAATGCAATAATAAAGGTGAACGGATCTCCATTGTCTGGCGTCTTTCTCTGTGGGAATTTTCCCACCCCTGACAGCTGTAAGGGGGGAGGGGCACCGACAGGGGCTGTGCCTTTATTCTCTCACCTTCCCCCCCAGCCCCTCCTCATCTCCGTCAATAAATGTCTGCAATCATATTCTTGAGCTCCTGTGTGATTTCAAGGTTCATCTCTTCCATGCAGCTCAAACACTAATTATCCCAGCTGTAATTAGTAAGATAATTAAATACTGGCTCGCTCATCTACCTTGGGTCGGGTCATGATTCTCCCAGAAGACCTTGAGCAGTTCCTCGAAGCTGATGCGTTCTGGCTGGTACACCACTCGAACGACTTCTGCATGGCCAGTTTTTCCTTGAAAGAAACAGAACGTACAACCAAAATTCACTGACAACATCAATTTATTACAAGCTATTTGTTTCAGAAAAAAACCCCACCAGACCGAGGCTAAAATTCTTCCCTCCGAAGGAAGGGTGGGAGCATAGCTGTACTTCAGCTGATGGTTTTGCTCTCAGTCTCTGTCCCTGGTTCTTTGTCCCTGAAAGCACACAGTTGTCATCTTGCAGGCTTCCTGAGGATGATGACTTCATTGTGCTCTATTTTTTTTTAATTTCACGTGAAAACAAACTCTGGCTTTCATTTTCCCAGTGTCAGCCTTATGAAGCCTTATGGAGCCACTCTGCCACTGTGCTCGAGAGCTGACACTCTGCAGCGGGCAACAGGCCAATTTATTTTTACCACCACCCAGTGCTACACGCGGTCAGCTCAGCTGCGGCACAGAGAGAGACAGCGCCAGACAGAGACACCTATAAAATGCAGACTTCTACCTTGTTCACGTTAGATAAATTTGTTAATGGAGAGACAACTGGCTGTGCTGTTAGTGCCGAGGCAAGGGTCAGGCCGATACACCCCAAGGGGCAGTAAGTGCTTCCTCAGCCTCGTATGTCTCGGGGGTAAACAGCGACTGTCCAGCACCCGTGCCCGTTCTCCAGGGTGGCCTCCGAGGTTCTGAGGACCAGTGAGGCGGGTGTTTGCAGTGCCACTTACACCTGTGGAGTTCGCGCCCTTCCTTATTTTACAGTGTGCGAACATGCCGAATAACAGACCACTCCACACACACACCATCTCTATACTTAACTTTGTTTTCCATTTCTCGTTGATCATCCTATACGTAGTAAACAATTCAGCCTTGCCTAAAGAGACACCCGGCCTTTGCCTGGCCTCTGGAAGGTAATCTATGTTGTACCTGATGAGAGTGGCCTTCTTGAGGATGGGGCCCACCACACCAATGGTCTGAAGGCGGGGGTCGGTCACTCTGCATCTTAGGGCAGGGTTGGCTACACCCAGCAGTGTGTGAGGTCAAGGCTGGTTATGCCAGAAAGACCGACCATGTGACTGCAGGTCAGGGCTTTGGGGGGCAACGCAGTGTAAGCTTCCCTGGAGACTGAGTTCAACTCCATGAACAATCCATCAGTTAATCAGTCAATCACACCTATGTAATGAAGCCCCAGTAAAGACTCTGGACAGCAAGGCTTGCTCGAGGTTCCTGGCTGACAGGGCTCTCTGCCCACGGTCACACAGGGGTGCCAGGAAATGACACACTGACTGTGCAGAGAGGACACAGAAGCCTTGCGCTGGAACCCTTTCTGTCTCTGCCCTATGTGACCTTGACTTTGGTTGACTCTGATCCGTATCCTTTGACTGTAATAAACTGTAACTGTGAGAATAGCAGTTCTCTGTGAGTTCTGTAAGTCCTAACAAACTATCAGACCTCACTGGTTTCAGGAATCCCTTGAACTTGTACCTCAGTTTACAAAAGTGTTTTCTATATGTTGGTGGTCTCATTTAATTCTCACAACCACCTTATGTGTAAGCAGGGAAGGTAGAAACCCTCATTTCACAAATGAAAGACTGAGAAATGTGTAAGTTAGATCTGCCCAAGGTCACACGGCTAACAAACTTCTGGGCCATAAATAATACCTGAAAAAAGTACCTTCTGACTTCTGGTCCAGAATCCTGTCTGATACATAAAAGCAAAGACAGCAAAATGGACATGAGTCCAGAAAAGGAAAGAAATCCATTCATTACCTTTAATCTTTTTTAATATTTAAATTTATTTTTATTTGTAGAAACAGTAATTTTCAAACAATATGAAGCTTAAAAATGTGTAGAAGTATAAAAAAATAAAAATGCCTATACTCCTACCATATAAGTACTATCAATGTCTTTTACTCATCTTTTTCTGGACATGTACCAGATACGTGCACACGCATACACATGCACACACACTCACACACACTGCCACATACCATCTGTTTTAGTGGAACCACTGCCTCATGCTTTATCCTGTGTATTGTACTTCCTGTGTGCCTGTATATTGTATATCCCCACATCACTGAAATTTTTTAAAAATACCGTTTATAGTGACTATACAATACCCCAAAGAGGACTATACTATAATTAGTTATTCAATCATTGCTTATCATTGGGCATTGAGACTGGATCCTCTATTTATCTGTGAATGTAAATATTCCTTCCCATTTCTGTGCCTCAAGCCACAGTTACCTGAGTGGCATTTCTAAGTCAACGTATATGAACGTGTGTAAGTTTCTAGATGCTGAGCGTCAGAGTGGCAGCTTCCTCACCCCCGGCGGCCTGTCTGAGAGCCAGTCTCAGCCCCCGGTACGACGGTTCGGTCATTGCCAGCTTACAGCTAGAATCCAGCATCCTGTCGTTTTATTCTCAATGAATTTAAATGTTAGCAAGTTTAAAAAGTCATGTTTATTGATAATTTTAATTTCTTATTTGCTCTAATTTTTGTAATGTCCTTTTTATATTGGGTTATTAACATTTTATTATTAATTGGTCAGCCTCCATAATTTTAATTCAAATGCCACAGTCATGTCCGTTGAACATCTAAGCAGATTTAATGCTGACAGATATGACAAGAGTAGTTATATAGGAAGAAGATACATTAAATATAATAATCATGTTATTGTAAAACCACTTTTGATCTACTTTAAAATATTACTAGTTTGTGTTACGAAATGATTAAAGAAACGATTTAACCACATAAGAATTAAAACGCTCTGAATATTAGAAGCAGCAACCATATGTCACCAGCGTGGCACATACATTAGGTCAGGAAGGCGTAGAAAACCGTGCTCGAAGCAGGCAAACGATGTAAATACTCAATATGCATCGGGAGATATAGATGTAAATCAAGATTTAAAACGCTGACATTTTTAGTGATAAAAGGAAATAAATGCATGTTGAAACACCATCTCTTACTTACTACGTTTTGTAAAACTTCTTAAAAGTGCGCCTAGTGCTGAGGAGGCGTCTGTAAACCTGGCGCCCCGATGTGGCTGGTGGCATGTACCATTGCACCATTTTGAAACCCCACTGGCACGTGTAGAAGAAGCCACAGAGATTAAGATTAATTCACCCTAAATGATCCAGAAAATACATCTAGAATACATAACCCCAAACAATGGAAAAGATACATGCATACACAGAGAATTCACTCCATCATCATTACAATGGTGGGGTATTATAATAAATCCAAAACTCAAACTGACTGAAAGAAACAAACTATGGTATAGCCACAGTATGAAATACATTTAACCATTAAAATACAATGTCCTAACCCTAGTATATGCTGTTATTACTTATTGAACGCTGATAAAATGGGGGGCACTTTACCTACTTGCTGTTTTTTAATGCTTACAACAAATTTGCACATAACATAAAATTTACCATTTAACCATCTTTGACTGTATAACTCACTGGCATTAAGTGCATTCACCTTGTTGTACGATATCACCACCATGCATCCCCAGAACGTTTTCAGGTTGGGAAACTGAAACTGTATCCATTAAACTAACTCCCCATTTCCCTCCCCACCCCCGCCCCCAGCCCCAGGCAACCACTATTCTACTTCTGTCTCTTGAATTCGACTACCCTTGGGACTTCGTTTAAGTGGGATCATGTAAGGGGGTCAGTGACTGGCTTATTTCACTTAGCATGGTGATTTTCAATCTTTTTCATCTCATGGCACACATAAACTAATTGAAATTCTGGAGCACACCAAAAATACATCATATTTTTTGTCGATCTACAAAAAAGGGGTATAATTCTGATTCATTCATACTGGATGGCTACTGTTGTGTTGGCTGTTGTCATTTTTTTATTTGACAAGTGTTCAGAGAAAAGAGGTCAGTGCCCCTGACTAAACAGTCAGTTATTGCATGTTTTAAAAATTCTTGCATCACGCCGGTTGAAAATCACTGACTTAGCATAATGTATCTTTCCAGACTCGTCCATGTTGAAGCATGTGTCAGAATTTCCTTCCTTTTTAAAGGCTGAATAACGCTCCATTGCATGTGCACACCTCATCTGGTTTATTCACCCATCAGTGGACACTGGGGTTGCTTCCGCCTTTCCGCTATTGTGAATAGTGCTGCTATGAACGTGCGTGCACAAATACTGCTCACAGCACCTTTACAAGGCAGATAGAGTCCCCATGTTACATGTGAGGAAACCAAGACCTCCCACAGGTTTCTTCACACAATGCATCACGGCCAGTAAGAGACAGGAGCCAGTGAAGAGCCAACTAAGTTTCAACAGGAGGTGAGGCCTGGGCTCATCTATGACCCTGAGGCAGGCTCCTGAAAGTGGTGGACACCTGAAGTCACCAGGTGACAGAAAGTGTAACACGGGTGGGCAGTGGCTCAGAAGGGAAATCACAGCTGAGGGGTAACTGACACCCCAGCTGTCAAGCCCATTTTCCAAGACTAGGTTCTTCTTTCGTGGCGGCGGGAAGGGGTCAGGACAGACTGCCCTCGCCAGCAAACCCGCTCAGGCATCGCCCGAGCACCGACACTATTTGTGGGGTGGTCCTAAAAAGCTTGGTTGTTTGAAAGAAACTACTGCCATTAAAATTCAAGATCCATCTGCATTAACAAACAGTGTGGAGAAGCCTTCGTCAGATTCACCTTTAAGTTTCTTTATTTTATTTCTCCGAAGTGGAAGAGCCTGGGTAAAAATACACAGTGCAAATGATCAAAAGGATTAAGGGGCCAGAAACCACTCGCAGAAATGCCCACGCCTCGAGGAGCCCGCCAATGTGCCAGGCTAATTTGATTCTCAAGACCAATCTGCAAATACTTTCTGGGGTTTCCAGAGATAAAAGGCTGTATCTTATAAATACTTCGAGATGTTTCTTCACATAACTTCGTGCAAATAGCATAATAGATGTGACGTGCACACGGGCTTGTTAACAATTCACAGCAGCCTAAGTGCTTTCACGTTGTTGTTCAAAAACAGCTTGAAAGGAAGAATGAAAAGGGGAG